TGGCAGCAATTTGCCTGTCCAAGTACAATGCAGAATGTATAAAAGAGGCTCATTGAACCCTTAGTAAGTGAAATATCTTTCTTTTTCACTCAACTAGGTAAAAATGTGAAAGGGCAGAAAAAGCACAAGGAGACAGTCTCGGATATCCTAATGGGCTAAAATGTAGTTGAACATGAAGGGTGTGGTTTGGTATAAAACCAACAAGCTGGATTCTATTCTCCCTCTTCTAGGCTCCCTTTGTTAGTTTTGTTATTGAACTGAGATAGAGTCATCAAAATTAGGARAATTAGCTCAAAAACAAAACAAAATTAAACTGTCCATTGGTAAGATCACATAATTTATTCGGTGGAATTTCATTTGGTAAAATTTGGTCAAAATCAATGAATTTTTAGAAAGTAGGAATAGTTTTGAGAGATTGTATGAAGAATGAATATAATGATAGATAGGAGTGATTTGATAAACACATAAAAAGGATGGACATCTCCAAGCGTACTGGTGGGCTTCCAACATGGCACCTGTATTCTGTACAATCACTGGATCAAACATTGAAGGTCCTAAGAAGAACCCAAGGTTGGTTTTTTTAAGAATTATTTGGTAATTATTTGGGGCTCATAAAACAAAAAAGTAATCATCTAAAACAAACTTAAAGAAATATCTATTATAAAAAAATTTTAGTGACTAAAAAGTAGCCTGGGCCACTGCTTAGAAGGCCCAGTTCAAGCGGTATAGTGGGAGCAGCCAATGCCAGGAAGGCTCTGGGAGTAGCACAATACTATCCAAGAAGGGAGGAGTGGGCACAGAGGATGGAAATTTCCAATGGTTCTACTCAGACCCACTCGGGTAAGATGAACACAAAATCCTATGCCCACTTGCTGACACCAAGTGTATACCCTTAGGACAATTTCTAATGGGTCTTCATCATGCATCTAACTTCCYGGGGACAAYATTCCCACCACCACATCAGAGCAGAGCAGAACAAGAAGCCTGTGTGTGCTGAATGCCATTTCCGCTTGTCCAATTAGACTATCTCAGATAAAAACCTCTGGGTGTGTGCTGAAGGCAACTGGAATTCCTAAACCTCCCGTCTTGTATAATTCTCTTTCACCTATTTAGAAAASAGCTCAGCTTTCTTTAATATATTGCTAAGACTCAAAGCATGTGTAATTGGGATCAGYATGCTGACTATCTTTAGAGGAAGGCTCTATGGATAACTTGAGAAAAATCAGACAGTATTGTTCCTATAAAATGATCACGAAATAGTTTCAACAGATATTCACTTGATATTATTTTATTTTTAATTAACAGACAAATTTATATATATATATATATATATATAATATGACATTTTGAAAATCATTTGCATTGTAGAATGTCTAAATTAAGCTGATCAACATACACACTCACTCACTTTTCCTTTCATCATGGGCCCTATCCTGATTTTGTTTCATAAATATCTCATTCCAGAAGAAGAATTTATTTTTATTAAATTGAAATAAGCATAYATTTTGAAGACCTCAGGCTCAGACAAGCCAAAAGAGAAGGTTCAAAGTCTGATGAATAAAAAAAAATGACCCTAAAGAGCCCAATTATTTAACATAAAACATTCTATTGAAAATCAGATGTGAAATGTGAGGGCTTCTCAATAGGATGCACACAAGTCAATTTTGGTTGATGATGCAGCTGAGTGTGCCTTTGGATCAGACAGGTCTACAATCAGTAGTAWATCTAGCAAGAGTGATTTATTTTACTTATTTATTTTTGCTTTGGGGAAGAACCATCTGTTTATAAACAAAATAAAAAATGTTTAAACTTCTTAAATTTCAAGAAATCTCAGTTGCTTTAAAAGCTTAAAATCAGATTTAATTTTGGTTTCTGCTTATTTGTGTGTCTTGAATGATCTTGTCTAAATTATCTTTTTAGATTTGCCTATTTATAGCCCTCACTGAAATCACTTTGATTTATATCATCAAGTTAAATGGCTTTCCCTACCTTTGCCCATTAAAATACTTTAAGGAAGTAAAATTTCTAAAGTAACTTACAAAATAAAACAAAACAAAACCCYGAACTGAAAATCAGAAGCCCCTCAGATGGTAAAGGCAACTTTCCATCCATGTATTGCAGCATAGACACAAGATCTGAGTCTTAGAGCTCAATAAATAATTTCAAGCTCTTACCCCATAGGAGGTTCATGCAATCCATTATAATTTGAGTTCCTGGTGTTCACTGAAACCAAAATGCTTTCCTTGAACACAGAATAAAGACYTTAAACCAATGGGTCTACCACCTTGAGTTAAATGAGTTAGATTTTTAACCTCATATGACTTAAAAACAGTAACACCAGCTAAAGTTTAAAAGAATTCAGTGTATTGTGCAAATAAAAAGTCTAAGGAAGACTTGGCTTCAAGTATGGGATTCTCTTCTGTTCTTTCAATTCTCTATCTTCTGGGTTGGGTCCATTTGCAGTTAGGCTTTTCCAGCAACTACACACCGTATCTCTTAACAGTTTGAGCCCTGTGGGGAAAACTCACATACTCTTTCTCTAGAAACCCCTTCAGAAAAGTCTTGTTAATTTTTTTATTAGTACATTTGCCATGACTGTGACAAAAATGGGTAAAATATAAAGAAAAAAAAAGTTTATTTAGTTCACAATTTTGGAGACTAAAATTCCAAATAGCATGGAGTCAGCTGTGGTGGTGTCTTCTAAATGCATCACATCATGGCAAATGGCTATATGACCCAAAGGGAAGGTAAGTTTTGCTCATTTTTAACAACCCCCCCCCCTCAAAAACTAACCAGAGAACTACCTTTATTCTTTTTGAAGCAAAACCTCAATTATTTAATTACTTCTCACAGACWGTATCTCTCAAAAAGTCCCACTGCCAYTGAACATCACTGCACTGRGGACCAAGCTTCAGATACATGAACCCTKGGGCAGCAAACCACATCCAAACCATAAAAGCTCMGCTGAGACATRACGCGACCMCTCACTGTTGCTGTATTCACTCAATGTCTTCCCACCTGCACTAGTAATAGAACCTGTTACAAAGCACATGGTCTGAGAATGGGAGAGTGCTCCCTCCAGAGAGAAATGGAGGTTCTGTCACTGAATCGGGGTAAATAGAGGTTGACTGTAAAACAGAATAGATATTCAGTATTTGCAAGATATGTCTCCACCGTTCTACATAATTTTCTATTGCAAATGTACCTGCTTAGCTTTCTAGTTGGTAGTTCTACTTCCTGCAGGCTTTGAAGACATAATACTTACAGATACTTAACCAGAAGGGGGGAAAAAAGCATATGACTATATTAAGATTTGTACATGAATGTTYATAACAGTTGATATATAGTAGCCAAAAGCCATACACAAGTCAATTCCCATTAGCAGATGAATGGATAAAGAATTTGTGATACAGCCATACAATGGAGTGCTTCTTAGAACTAAAAGGGATGAACCCCTGGTGCATGTAACAACATGGTTGGAACTCAGAWTAGTTACACAAAGTGAAGGAAGCAAGATTTAAAAAAAAAAAAAAAAGAACACATATTGAATAATTTTTGGTGAGAAATTCTAGAAAATGCAAATGTATCTATAAGTGATTTGTTTGGAAACTGTGGGGTAAGGGGTGAGGAGGGGAGGGGCAAGAGGAAAAGATTAAAGAGTTGCAGAGGAGGGTTGGTTTGTGGCTCAGTGGTAGAGTGCTTGCCTGGCACGTGCATGGCACTGGGTTTGATTCTCAGCACCACATATAAACAAACAAATAAATAAATAAAGTATACAATTTGATGTTTAAAAAAAGAGTTTCAGAGGAAACTTTTGGGGGCTGATATGATAAATAACTGGATCAGGGGATGGCATCATTTTCTTTAAAGGACAAGATACTAAATATTTTACACTTCGCAGTTCCCATGATCTGTGTTACAATTACTCATCTGCCATTGTAGCATCAAACCAACTATAGATAAAATAGTACACAGAAATAGGTGTGAGTGAATTTCAATAAGCTATTTATGAAAAAAGGCAATGGCCCAATTGGATCTACAACCTGTAGTTTTCCGATCCCTGATTTTGATTATGGTGGTTTTACAGGTGTGTACATATGTCAAAACCTATCAAGTTTTATACTTTGTTTATGTGTCACTAATCATATATCAATTACAATTCAATACAACTRTTAAAAAATAAAAACAAAACAAATTTGGGTTCCCTATCATCAGCTGGATGAAGCATAATCTTTTACCATGGCACACACATCTGTGCACATCCAGACCTCYGTATTCCTGCTGAAATGTTCCTCTTCCTGGCGAAAGTTCACCCTCCTGCAGTGCCCAGCACACACRTCATGCCATTTCAACTCCACCTCTTTGTTAGGGTTCTCACTATTTTCTCTCTTCCTAAGATGGCTTCCTCCCACCAACACTTCAGATTAATCCCAGGCATGTGCACATCCAGGATGTCTTCCCTTCTGCTCTTCCTTAGCCTGTGCTTCCTTAGCCTGTGCTCTGAGGGATGCTCATTTCCATTCCCCATAATGGTCTGTGCGTGTGTATGTGCACTTTGCTGCGTATGTATGTGAATACACAATACTCTTGTACTAGCGMAGTGTTCAATAATTTTAACTATATGTATGAAAAATGTTCTGTTAAATATTTAGAATTATTGTTCAGTCTCTGCCTCTACCACTTGAAAGAGAGCTCTGTGTCAATTACACCTACGACAGGGACCACCACATTTAAAACAAACAAACAAACAAACAAAGAAACCCTGCCAATGAAATCAGCATGTTTGCTATTATTATAACCACTTTGCAGATAAGAAAACTGATAGAGAAATTTTGTATTTAGCCCAAAGGCACAAGTAAGTAGTCAAGCTAGTACCTAAAGTGTTGCATCTGTAATCTCAAATGTTCTCCACTAATCCATGCAATCTTCTTGCTGGACTCTCACCTGACTTTCAGGCTGGCATCTACACTGACTGTCACTGCTTTCCTTTCATCTCCCAGATACACCAAAATGAAGACTGCCACCAATATCTACATTTTCAACCTTGCTCTGGCAGATGCCCTGGCGACCAGCACCCTGCCCTTCCAGAGTGTCAATTACCTAATGGGAACGTGGCCGTTTGGCACCATCCTTTGCAAGATCGTGATCTCCATCGATTACTACAACATGTTCACCAGCATATTCACCCTCTGCACCATGAGTGTGGATCGCTACATCGCAGTCTGCCACCCGGTCAAGGCCCTGGATTTCCGTACTCCCCGAAATGCCAAAATTGTCAACATCTGCAACTGGATTCTCTCTTCTGCCATTGGTCTGCCTGTGATGTTCATGGCAACCACAAAATACAGGCAGGGTAAGTGGAGTCGAAGGGCTGAAGGGTGGAGGGCTAATAGTTTGATATGTTGGCAGTGCCATGGGCCAAGTAGAATGGATGGAGTGGCCCAATGTCTTCCTCCAATTATTATTTTAATTATTCTTTCTAACAAAATTCCTTTGAGGAGGGAATCCCCCCCCCCTGTAATTTTAAGCCTACTAAACATCTTAAAGAGAATATAATCTATTTGTTTCTGATTTCTCTGGGCTTACTTTATCAAAGTGGGAAGTAAATATGAAACTAGCTCTCCCAAAAGTATTTCTCTGAGGCTTGTTTTAGAACTCCAGGCAGTTGCCTACATGACAAATTTGTCTTTTTAGACCAAACAGAAAAATAATGACCTATCTTCCTCAAAGTGGAATGAAAATATCCATTTGCTGCAACCTCCTAGAAACTTTAGACAATGCTCATATTTCTTACATCAATGCAAATCCCACCGAGTGTCTAGTTCCTGGTGAAAGGTCCATAATCACTCACTTAATGAATGCATAATATGCCCAAAGTAGACCASAAAATGGGAAATTTGCAGAAAGAAACCCCCCAAAATTAACTTTCCCTGAAAATCAGCAGAGTTGAGTTTCTTCCACATTTCTTTCAATCTATCCTTGGTGGCTTGCTTAGTGACAGCCTCAACCCGGTTCTGCTTCAGCCCAGCCCTGATCAAGGCTGTAAACGCATSCGCAGAATGGCAGTATTAAAATGTGACGATAGACCTCGATATTGCGCTGAGTTTTTCTTAAACCGCTTTTCTTCCAGGTTCCATAGACTGCACCCTGACCTTCTCTCACCCGACCTGGTACTGGGAGAACCTGCTGAAGATCTGTGTTTTCATCTTTGCCTTCATCATGCCCGTGCTCATCATCACCGTGTGCTATGGGCTGATGATCTTGCGCCTCAAGAGTGTCCGCATGCTCTCGGGCTCCAAAGAAAAGGACCGGAACCTGCGGCGCATCACCAGGATGGTGCTGGTGGTGGTGGCAGTGTTCATCGTCTGCTGGACGCCCATCCACATTTACGTCATCATCAAGGCCTTGATCACCATCCCAGAAACCACATTCCAGACGGTCTCCTGGCACTTCTGCATTGCTCTGGGTTACACAAACAGCTGCCTGAACCCAGTCCTTTATGCATTTCTGGATGAAAACTTCAAACGATGCTTCAGAGAATTCTGTATCCCAACCTCTTCCACCATGGAGCAACAAAACTCCACTCGAATSCGTCAGAACACTAGAGACCACCCCTCCACGGCCAATACGGTGGACAGGACTAACCATCAGGTACGCGCTTTCTAGCTGGGTATACCTCTTGGGGTGATGTAAACATGATAGCTGTTGGTACTGGTCCAAGATTGCSGTGCCTTAGGACATCAGTAACCAGGGGGAGAATGGAGGGAGGAGGGAACACAACGGGATCACGGTGCAGAAAGGAGCTTTGTGGTAGAATGTGCTCTGTGTGTTTGTATATGCTCATTGAGGCTAAGAGGTATGCCCACCAGAAACCCATAAACTGCTAAAAAATCACTATCTTCCTGGCCTTTGCTTCTATGCAAAATTAATGACCTTTCCATATTGTGGAAGGGATCCTGATCTAGAAATCTGTCTCATTTTCCCCAGAAATATTCTATATTTCAAAGATCCTTCCAGTATCCCTRTTGCTTCTCAAAAACTAGTCCTGCTGGGTTCTGAGGGTGAAAAGCCTTGTCCAACACCGCCAGGGACAAGAAAATACTCCAGAAAAGCAGTGTCACAACAAAAGAGGAAAAAACGGCCAACTCCCACTCTTGTTAGTAGATGTTAATATCTGAACTCTAGAAAAAAATACAAAACATATTACCTAATTGTTAGAATTAAGTTAATTGTGTAACACTAGTCAAACCAGTCAGGAGTTAACATTTGAAAGAGTGACTGTATTTTGGAGATATATTCTTAGGCCCAGGAGACGACAAGATGGGGTTGGCACAGAAGATTCAAAATTTACACACAGTATTGGAATCAGTAACAAGGAAAGAGAAAAAGTTGTCTCCAAGACAGTGTCCCCTTGTTAAGTCACTGCTTTGCAAAATTTGACCTCTGACCTATAAAGTCGATCAAACACATAACTAAAATACTCATAAATTCATTTAAATAAATAAATGTTTCAAAAATCCCATCCAAATCACCCCTGCATCTGAAACTCACAGCAGGTATAACTTTGTAACCCAGAACTCAAATTCAAACTTCCGGTCAAGTAAATGTCTGGGTCAGAACTTTGGATAAATTTCCTAGATGGAAGGGGCAGGGCTTGTGGGGACAGTCGTTCCATAAAAATGAAGAGGTCTAGGAAGGGCCAGAGGGAGGCCTTGGCAGCCCTGGGCTCAGCTCTCCCTCTCACTGTCTCCCCATGACTCTCCTTGGGTCCCCATTTTTGCCACTCAGGCCAGCCCAGGCTCACCCTCCTAATGGACCCCAGGACTTATGTAACGTGGCCCAGCTAGATCTGCTCAAGGGACATTAATTCTCATACCCTGATAGGAAAGATGCTAAAATGAACCCAAGAACTGGCACCCTGGAGAGCGCGCCGTAGCGGTGCAGAGCCACCTCCAGCCAGAAKGAAATTATTAACTTATCATGTCTCACTTCTAATTCCATCTCAGAAATAAAAGCCAGAAAGAAATGGTTTTCTACTCTGCTTCTCTTCTCTCATTTTTCCACATCAAGACCTCTAAACCTGCTCCTTTTTCTAAGCCATTCTCCTTTTCAGTGGTTCTCAAAATCTTATGAGTCACTTGGAAGGATTTGGGGTCTCTGATATGGGGATAACATATAAAACAATTAGTCCTAAGCCAGGGTTAAGATGATTTGCTTTAGAGTACTATATTTTGTTGGGGCAAAGGATGTCAACTAGAAAGTGCTGGCTCCTTCTCCCTTAGTGCTTACACCTACCCCCCCTTTCAAACCCTTTGGGGCCGAGCTGCTTGGTAAAGTACCCCAGGCCTCTGCTGGGCCTCGGCCACCTCACTGGCCTTGTTCACATGGAAACTGCTCCCAGCCCCACGCTCCCCTTGACTTCCTTCCAAATTCAGCTTTTCTCATCSGCGTGGTTCTGGCACAGCCAGACTGCAGCTAACTGGAGAAGTTCTGTTTAAGTAACTAAAAGGTTTGCTTTAAAAATACACCCAATTAAAACTTCTCTTCACTGCTGCCTCTGGGAAGCAGTATCATTATCAGATAACAGCAGAAACACATTAGGCCCGGAATTGGCCATTTCCCAAATGCCCAGCTGGGAGATCAGGAAAAGAGGAAGACACCCTGACATATTTGAAAATCAAGATAAATCAAAGGTCCCTTTCACTCATCTCTACTGATATGTCACCATTCGAACGAAGGCAGTTACACGCAGACAACTAGAACCATATGTAAGCCCATAGTGATGGTTTCAGGGCTACATTGACATAATTAGATTTGAAGGAGAAATCAGAGACTTCACGGTCTTGCCTCTAGGATTTATTTGATTTGTTGTACCCACTCAGAATCTGATAAACAGGTGTTGGGTCTTTGTTGTGGATCTTTTTGTCTGTTTGTTTGACATCATGAGCCGTCATGCAAGGAAACAAAGCTCGTTGGATTTGCGTTAACTTTTCAGTTGCATGTTACAAGTTTGCCGTGGTTATACAGGTTTACGTTTTGTGTTTGTATTTTCTCCAAGAAATACATTATGCTATATATGTCATGTTTCAAACACGCTAGTCGACTTCATATTCTGCAGATCAGAGGTCCAATATCAAACCTTCCCAGGGTGTCTGTTTTCTGACAACTATATACTGTGGCCACGTCCATTCAGCGAAAAGTGAAGTGGCGATGTGGCAGTTATCAAGGTAATTTGATAAGACATGAGAAAATGCTATGCCCCAAATAAACTTGGAGTCAGATTTATGTAGGTAAAGGCATCTCTGTAAGTTTATGCTGCCTAACAAATCATTCCAACCTTGAAGCACCCCCTTGTATCCATTACCGTTGTGACACATGAGTCGCTTGGGCCAGACTTGCCTGGACTGCCCTTCCAGTCTTGTCCGAGCTCACTTCAGTGTCAGCCACCAGTGGGCTGTCGGCCCATCAGAAGGAATGGCCGGCTCCAGAAGGATTCTTGTCCTCATTAGCCCAGTCTTGTTCTCACAGTGGCCAGGGACTCAGAGAGAGAAAAGAGAACAAAGCTTCCTGAGGCCCAGGGTCAGAWGTGGCACAAAGCCATGTCTATGCTCTTTATAGGTGAGGTAAAGTCAGCACCTCAACCTATATTCAATGGTGGGGGCTGATAGGAGCCGCAGGGACCCCACAAAGAGCTGTGGATGGGGAGGGGTGGATACTTGTGGCCACTTTTGCTAACAATCCACAGCAGACATATGATGCAGGAGCTGGTAACACAGGGATTCATCTGTCAAGCTCCTTCTTGGGCCTCCAGAATCKACCTAGCATGGTGTCTGGCATATTAAAAGGTGCTCCAGAAAGATCTGTCGAATGAATGAGTGATGGGTGAGCTCATGGTATCTTGCATGCTGAGCACATGGGAATGACCTCTTTCTGGTGCAGACTACTGACAGTGCGACAATGGCTTCTGATTCTGGCAAGGTTTCGGGCTCACTCTGTTCGAATAGGAAAATATTCAAGGTAGGCTTCTTTATTTTCTCCTGCCCAGCCATTGGTATTCCGATCAAAAGTTATGCTTTTCTAAAACTTGGGTATATGTATGCTTCTTTTCTAAATTTATTTTTAACAAGTGGTTTTGATGAGACCAAGAGCTGATTTGGTGCCCTAAAGAGGTCTTTTCCAGGTTGAATGTTCGGGGGACACAAAGACATGGTCTCGTGTGGTGTTTGTTCATTCCAGGGCTCAGCTTCTACTCCCGCTGAAGCCTGCCTGATTCATGTTCAACTTGTTGTCTTTAYGGCTTCTTGATCTTTATTAGGTACATTCAGGCATAGACGCTCATTTTCCATCTGCTCTCAGTGCKACTGAATTCTCTGCCCACACAGCACACCAGCCTGCTGTTGACTACTGAACTCCAGTGTGCTTCAAAACACTTCCCCCACCACTCTGATCAATCCAGGCACAACCCAGACCTGAAACCCTGCTCACTGTTCACCAGCCTTCCCCGACTAGTTTCCAGCCCAGTTATACTTACATATGCATTTCCTATCTCAGCATTGAGGTGATCTTTAAAAATATTTAACATTACATAGGAAAAGAACCACTCTATTGCATCTGTTGAATTATTACTCAAGCAGTTAGTGAAACTATAACCTTAGTATAATGTTCTCATACATACTTATGACAGTGTACAAATTAAAAAGTACTTTCATAAGCACCATCACAACTGCTTACTATAACAATCAGGATGTGTAAACATGTGTAAACTTGCTCATGGAGGTTAAACAATTGTATAGATCAAACAACCTCTAAGAGGCAAAGTCCAGACCAACATCATCGCACAGCCTTCCTCCACTTGCCTGCGCTCTGCCATTTTTAATTAGCATTTTCTGATTGCAGCCGGAGATTCTCAAACCTTACTATGGACTCCAGGAAACGTAAATTCTTAAGATTATCTTTAAGAAATTGCAGCTCATTGTGTGAGGACAGAAGCCAAGAATCTGCATTTTGAATAAAACACAAAATCGAAAATTCTGATTTAACTGTTACTTTATCTTCAAACACTACTAAATTTACTATTTTCTGACCTGGGTAATTATTTCCYGTCAAGTTGATTGGGATAAATTCTTCACCAAATGCACTATGAGTTTTGCAAAACAATGTAATCATCCCTGAAAAAGTCTTAACTTTCTAATGTATCTGTCACGGAGCCTTATAGGACAAARTGTATAACAGCAATCAACTTAACACTCTGTGCCCTGCTCATTCCTCTTCATGGATATGGCAAGTCCATTCCTAAACCCTCTCGTTACCATTTTTAATCCACTTTTTTGGACATTTCAATGCAAGTAGCAGGTCTGGAAATTAGCAGAAGCTTTGTGTTTGAATTAAATATAAAACTATATTATTCCCAGCTAAACTAAAAGCAGAAGTCTGACTTTTAAAATCAACCACATCACTCACACAAGCTGGATATTGGTTTTTTACAAGACATCTGTGGAGAGCTAATTTGGGAAGGAAATGATTTTAATGACATTTTTTTCCGTGACAAAAGCCCCAAATGAGAATAGCTTTCAAAATTACAGCACTGGACCACATTAATGCCTATTTTGTGAATGAACCCCAAATGGCTATTCTGTCAATTCATTGGTTTAAAAGGAAATTGGTTCCAGTCATCTGCGCTTTTGTGTGTGTGTGTGTGTGTGTGCACATGTTATGAGTGTGCACATACACATATGCCTTTAAGTAATTGGAATTACAGTATATTTAAGTTTGAAATAAATAATATCTCATAAATAACATAAGAACTTAGTGTTTTCTACTAATTAGCTATAATCTGAGTGAGTAAAATATTGTTAAACTAGCCTGTTCTCAAAAAATATTTGGCTCTAAGAATAGTACTAATAGCATCTACTGATCAGTTTGTAGCTGAAGCTATACTTACTCAATCACATGAGGGATGGATTAAAGTCCCTACAGTCAGGGAAAGCAGTGTTTAAGGAAGTCATTGCCCAAGGCCATAGTTAAAAAGTAGTGGCTGAGGATTAAATTGGGTTTTATAAACCAGGCTCTTACTCAATATGCTCTACTGTCCCCTGGTCTGGTTTTCACTCTGGGTGATCACTGTTCTTCTAGGGAGATTCAATTTTAAAGATTTGAGTTAACTAATAAAATTGGTACAGAATTTTCTTGTGCTCACTGTTCCAATTAATGTTAAGTAACATAAAATACAGCAGCCTATTTTTTTTAAAAGTAATTAAAAATAATATATCTTCTTATTTGACTAAACATAAGGTGGTGAATTTTTATTTTATAGCCATCTATGATGAAAACATTCTCATTTATTGAGATTTAATACTTTGAAACACCTCAATCTTTATTTGTTGTCTCACATAGTTTGGGGACCTATGAAAGGTAGATAGTTTTCCTTTTTAACTTTCTATGACACCACATATTTTTTTTTACTTCTAAATCTCCAAAAACTTGAAATGCAGCTTCCTAGTACTTTTTAGTATTTGCATTTTTCCCTCACATTGAACTCAATGACCATTTGAAAGAGTGTGACTATCACAAACCCACCTGACTCTTGATTGCCATTCTGACAACCAATCTTTTGATAGGCTGAAATAAATAATTGTGAGTTGACACGATTTGACTTTAAAAAGTGAAGAAATTGTTATGTGAAAAACACCGTGAGAACTACAGATTTGCTGAATGAAATGTGTCTACCTGATCATTTCCCTTTCAAATTGTTTACCTGAAAATCAAGAACCTGGAGCCACACATTTGGTCAGCCTTCTCTCCTAACAAACTCACATATTTCCTTTATAGTAGAGTTCATGGGATTGGAGTGAATGGAAACTTTTCACAATGAAAGAAATATAAAAGCTAATGTTTGTCCAATACATACATGTGCGTATGTGTGTGTATGCATGTATATGTATCTATATAATGTGTGTATGTGGGGTGAGAGAGGCTAGAAACAGGATTCACTTCAAGTACTAAATAATTTGAACCGTACTTTTTTAAAACATGAATTATTTTCATGATATATGGAAGTCATATAAGGTCTCACGTCTCCCACATGAGTCTGGTCCCCTCATTGCCCATGATGTGGGCTCAGGGAGTGAGTATCCATGAGCATTAACCTTACCTGGATGGTAGATAAGTATGAAGTTAATGTGGTGCTTATTGCTTTACTGTTTATAAATCAAGAAAATGGACCCATTTTTTTCTTTCTACAGCTCCTGAACAGACTAGGAACACAGGCAAATAAATAATAAGCCAGATAAATTGGCTTCATAAAATCATTAAATCTCAAATAAATAGAAGCTGAAAGTTTCATCACATTTTGAAATAATGTTCCTTTCAGTCCAAGAATAAATATGTAGAGGAACAATCTGGGTCATTTATATGAGTAAAAGATGGGAGGAAGGAAGAATGAAAGAAAAAGAAAGAGAGAGGGAGAAAGKGAAAGAGCTAACCTGCCAGTATTTTGTGTCTGAAACCAGCTACTTCTCCCTGCTATGTTTTCCAGACAGAAACCAAAAGTCTGAGGAATACTAGAAATATAAAATAATCTAATAAATCCAAGCTGGATTGTTTCTACTTTTTAATATTATCAAGTCTTAAAATTTAATAAGAAGACATGTTTATGAGATTACTTGTGTAATCCAGAGTTCCCAGTGATATGCCCAAGTCCTTTAAAGAGAAGAAATAGATGATTTCTTACTGTGATGAAATGGGTACCTCTAAGATGTGTGAGAAAAGCAAAGTCTAAGGAAGATGACTTTATGAAATAAGAACGCTTCAGCCAAGAAAACTTGAAATAGCTTTTAAACTTTTGACAACAAGAAAATGCATTAAACAGTGGATATACAGTGGGTCGTGACTACCAAATATTTGTCAATAAAATCACCTACTGAACCCATCTTATAATTTACAACTAAGCAAGAATATTCTTGCTATTCTTCCTGTTTCTCTATCACATCAGCTAAGACGGCTTTATGATCAAAAAACCCTCAATATAACTAAATATAGACTTATTCAGATTCAAAGGATCAATATTAAAAAAAAAAACTTTCTTTCAGCTACTCTTTGGAAATGGATGAGTCGGTGTTTCACAGGATTTCACACTGTTGCAAATGAGGATAACCATAGGGCTTGCACGTTCTTCACCAACTAGACATTTTTATGATTGCCTCAGAAATCCAGTGAGACAAATAGATTTTGAAA